TCTGCTCGTTCAGCTTCATTTGCAGAGTTCACAATCGGATCTATCCATGATAAAAGTAATTAGAAAACAAGTAAGCAAATGAAGTTTTCTAACCTCAGAATGAAATTGTCAGGTTGACGTAATAAGTGCTTTTAGACATGTGCAGCAGGAGGAAAGGTAATTATTTAACTTGCCCATTAGTTTGGTGGCTGTGAAAGGCACAGTACTCCTTGAAGTGAGAGGGAAGTCAAGGAGTTGAGATTTGCACTGATCTGTTATAGGGAGGCTGGGTGGCCTATTTCTATCTTGGCCAGGCATTTCTTATAATATCATTGTTTTCGGTTGCTTGTAACCTCATTAAATGTTTGCTGTTTGTATGTATGTTGGCAGGCAGGGTTCTGGGAAAATAACAGCAAGTAACCATGTAAGCAAATAGCTTATCTATGTTTGCTTAGCCTGATATGTCTTCAAATTCTTCCCAAGCACGTTAATGTACAGCTAAAATTCGAACTAGGGCCTCTGTTCCCATCTGAAGCTTGCCTGGGAAGGTGGGTGAGAGATCCAGACAGAGGCCGTGGAACCCAGCTACTGCTATTTGTGCATTAAAATTAGTTAGGGCTCTTCATGTGGAGATTGTTGACTCCTCTGAAAATTTTTGAGTATATTTCTGCTTATTGAATGGTTACTGTTATCCCTTCTGGCATTCCTGGAAGTTCCTCCTCCACCCTTAATAATCAGAACTTGAAAAAAACCCTTCATTTCTCTAGAAGGGGCAATGAAGGATACTGCTGAGATCCAAAATAAGAAGCTTAGCCTTGCCAAGACTCTGCAAAAGTGCTGCAGAGGTACATCTGAATAGCTCAGGATCCCTTTGTGGTTTATCACATGCTTATGCAGATTCCACCTAATTACATTATTTATGATTGACAGGAAACCCTTGAGCTAAATAATTTGAACTTTATGAGTGCCCTGTTAATTCAGGTGGCTCTTGTGGATTCTTATGGGCTATTCAGTCATCCAGGTATTTGAACGTAACATATTAAACTTGCAATAATGCAATAAATCCACCTTTGAGGCTGTTAGTACTAGGTGCAAAATGTGGTAGCCCCACGGTGCAAAGCACTGGTACCGGCTTTGCTTGTTCAAGTGAATTTGGCAGGATAAGTTAATGGCAGACTTCACTGCCAAATCAGGGCTTCATGCTAGATTAGATAGCAGTGGGGTTTTTTGGTGGCTAGGTTAGACACAGACACTCACAAAAGTGTTGAATTTTGTTTTCCATCTAAGCAGACAGGGATGTGGTGGTTGTTTGCATCAAACTGTGCTGCTTGACGATCTGGTCATTCACTGATCCAACATGAAGAATCACGTAACCACTGCCTTAGCCATCAGATAACTTGTTGATCCAGTGTTGGCACATATTTCATAAGGCAGTTGTTGCTTGAAGCGGTATGGAAAGGGATGTATAATTGACTCTATCAGTTAAAAATAAAAGATCAGTCATTAGTTCATGTCAGCTTACTCAAAACCTAACATAAACCCTGCAAAATTGTCTGTCAGCTGGGTGGAATCCGCACATGAGAAATATGGTCTGTTTACAAATTAGCCGTGTGGGCTGGAAGGCAAATACATAAGGTGTGTCTTCTGTGTCATGTGCCTGGCATCCTCTAAATTCTGACTGCAGACATTTTCAGCCTCCTTCAGATTTTGTGAATAGTGCTATACTTGGCTACAAACATGCTTTCTCATTTTACTGCATTAGCCAGGCTGTTGTCCCTTTTTTCCCTCAATTTGTTTGTGTCAGAAGTTTGTTTCAGAGTATGATGGGGAGGAAAGGAGGGTGCAGGTACACAGTGTCACTGCTATATGTTTGCCCTGAAGCAAATTACGTAAGGTAAAAAAAAAAAAAGTGACTTTTTGCTTGAAATGTTAAGTTCAAGGCTTGTGAAGAGGGTGGTGATGTCCTGCCGGTCATGTGGGCACTTGCAGAGTCTTCTCAGAAAGCTCTGTCAGGTGCCATTGCTATTTTTTGCTGTGTGTTAGAAGACTGTGTCAGAAATGACAAACCATCCTGCTCTCCATTCCAGAGGTTTCATTGATCCTTTATATACCAGAGTCGTAGTGATTGAATGCCTTGAAGATGAGGTTTGAAATCATAAACTCATTTGGGTTTAAGTTGCTTTGTGTGATTTTTCTAATCAGCTGTAGGAATGAACTTGGAAAGACTGCATCCAGCTGGGACTTTTTAAACTCACTTAGGAGCCTTTATCCATGAGATATCACTTTTTTTTCCTTACAAAAGCTCTTGTAATCCCAGCCATGAATTCTTGTTTGATCTTTGTGAGCTACTGTGACCGCTGATACGTAATCTGAACTTTAGTTATTTCATGTGTCCTATCTGAGATGTGGCCTATTCTTCATACAAAGAGGGAATGGTTTGTATAATCAAGCAGAGCAGAATACTACATGTCTCTCCAAAGAGCGATGGAAGTGAGAAGCAAAACTCAAAAGAGTTTTTCTTTTTATCATACCTGAGCTCTCTTCTGGTTCACTAGTGTGGGTTATATTGTAATAGTACTTCAGGCTGAAATGAAAATCCCTATTGTGCTAGATTCCATATAAACACAGAGAATAACACAGAACTTGCAAAGGCTTTATAATACAATTTAACTTACAATGAAACAGATGTTTGTGACAATGGAGGAGAAGAGAACACTAAAACAGCATTAGTACATGTTCTGATGCTTGGAATGGGCATGTCTTTGGGCTCTAAATAATTAGAAAGCTTCATAGAAATATTTAATTATAAATAAATATTAGCAAAGCCTATTACATGAAGAGAGAAAATAGGACAGTAATTTTTATTTCCAAATACCATACAACAGCTTTGGCCTAATGTAAAATGTGTGATACAGATGGACTAACACAGAGGGAGAAGTAAATGGTACTTAAGGGGTACACAAAGACCTGGAACAAATATTTAATGTTAGCTTGTTGAGATTTTGTAACTGGGTGGCAGTATAATACAGTTTTGGCATCTTTTGTGGATATTCTTATTCACTGATACTTTTCAAGCATATTGTTTCAAACATGGTTAGCTTAAGTCCCAGCTCAAAAACGTTGACGAGCACACATTTTGTTGAGAGATTATGAACGGTTTTCTTCACTGTTCACTTCCTGTGGCAGTTCAGATGCCTCATGTGACAGCACAGCTCCTGACTTTTGGACTTAACTCCTGTCTTTGAGTTGCACTAGGGTTTTCAGCTTTTAACATTTATGGACTGAGTTGTGTCGACACATAGGGCTTCATCCTACCCTGTATGATCAGGTGCAATTCTTGGGCTTTGAAAACCAAGCAGGTAGATTAGAATAAAATTGTTTATCCATTTACAATCAAAACACTACCTAAGTTTTTGTTTGTGGTTTTTTTTTGTTTGTTTGTTTGTTTTTGTTTTGTTTTTTTTTAAGTAGTCCACTGACTCTCTTGTACAGTGTTATTACAGGGTATTATTTACAGCCTAGTAGGAATTCAGCAAAGCTTTCAACATGTTGTGGGTTTTGTTTATTTTGTCATATCTGTTTTCTCCTACTTCACTCATCTTTGAATTTGGCAATCTGTGTATGTTTTCTTAAAATAATTTTGTAATGGTTTTGAGGTGCAGTTTCTGATAGGAAGGCCACTGACAAACATTTCTCAAAGGTTCAGTTGTGGTGATATTTAGGGTTGGCTCTGAGATGCCTTGCTGTTTTGGGTCAGGGATCTCTGGGCTTTACAAAGTCAAGCCTTGGCTATCACCTCTCTGAGCAGCTGCAAGAACCAAGAATGCACATTATTAGCCATACAGATGCTTTCTTGAATTGCCCTTTTGAGTGGCTCTGCAGACCTCTGACATGCTGTAACAGGATACATTTCCCGTGAAGCCTGTCGTTCTCGTCAGTAGGAATGTTGCATATTTAGTATCTGTCATAGTTAGGTGATGTAGAAGCTATTTGAGCTTTCTCTCCAAGCAAAGCTGAAAGGCATCCCAGATAGTTTACTTACGTCTTATAAATCTTTGATCTGCCCAGGGGCTAAGGGCTTGTTGATGATGGCAAAAATGTGGTCTGAAATCAACCACTGACAGCTAGCACTGTGTGTTCCTGCACTGAGTGAACTGGGATGTCTTGGGCCCCTCGATCAAGCCCTGTCATACAGTCACTGGTGCAGAGGGACTAAGGGCTGTTGGTCCTGCGCTGCTGGTGACACCCAAAGTGTTGGCAAACCTACCCCAATGCACATGACTCAGTTACTCACCTAGGATCCCGTGGGTGTCATTTGGTCTCCTGCAGTGTCCTGCAGCACCCAGTGTGTATTTAGAGACTACTTTACAGCCTGGATGCAGACACTACTTTGATTTAAGTGGATAGGAGAAGGGCATGGGTTAGCTCCAACTTTTGGTGAATTGTTCATGCTCAGAAAAGGAAGTTGCTGTGTCCTGCTGATCACAGCCTTCATCTGGGTTTTGGCTTGTGAAAAAAGGAGGCCATTTTATCATCAGATGTGCTATGATTTTGCAGTGAATATTCCCTTTTAGTAAGAACGGTGAAAAATGTATTCTGTCAAACAAAAATTTTGCACTAAATTTTCTACAGGGAAGAGTAGATAGTTTGTGTGGAGACTGCAACTGAAACTACAGTTCAGGCCAGGGACTGGCATGATCAGGGGGAGCCTGCTGAAGCTAGATGGGTGACTGGCAGTGGTAACGTGTGTGACTTACATGCTACATGCTGTGACATGTAGGGGGAAGAGGGTATCATGTGCTAGGATATAACTGCTGGGCAAATTATCATGAAAAGCATGGTACCAGACAAATTCTGATGGCCCTCTTGTTTCCAACAAATTTTCATAAACTGCATTTGAAAGAAACCTCTCACTTTTGTGCAGTAGAGCCGAAGCAGTATGTCCTGCCCAGCTGTGCAGGTTACAGCGTGTACAACAAGCCCTGACTCCCTCTCTGCCTGTTTCTTCTCTCTCTCCTCAGATGGCCAGTGACCCATGTGCCGAGCAGCCCCAGCCCACGCCTGGCATGCTGACTGGAGTCAGCCCTTGCCACTGAGGCCAGGAGGAGGGAGGAATCACCATGGCCTCATCCCAGCGGGCCCGGCACATTGGCCCTCCTGATGGAGGCTGGGGATGGATGATCGTTGCTGGCTGCTTCCTTGTCACTATCTGTACCAGGGCCGTGACAAGGTAAAGGCAACTGATGCTTGTCTTGTTGACCTGTTTGTGGCATTATCTTTTTCCTTTTTTTCTTTTACCTTAGGAAGGGGGTTTGAGATCTCCCCTGATGTCCCACAGCTGCCAGGGTTATTCTGGTTAGGTACAAACTCTTGCTACATTTTTAAAGGCTTCCTGAAACCCTTAAAACTGTAGGGATGGCTGAGGGATTATGAGACCTCTGGTTTTAGTCTTGCCTCCTCTGACAGCTGCTCTAGCTTTCAGCACCCTCTACTTGATTTCTTACAGAATCAAGACCTGGAGCAGGTAGAGCTATTTCAGGCTCTGGTGGTTTGGTTGGGGAGGGAGGAATCAAGTAGGGTATCTTTGGATTCACTGTGTTCCTCTGACCCCACAGCCATGCTCATTTTTGCTAGTCCCAGTGAATTAGCTTCCTGAGTCTCTCTGAAAAACACATAAATACTCCCTTCTCCTACTGCAAGTATTTCAGGTGCTGTTCTGCCCTAGAGAAGAGGCCCCTCTCTATACCCTTCTGGTATCCAAAATATGCAGAAAATATTTCTCAAAAATAGAAAGAACAGGAATAGATTTCTGCCTTGCATAAACATAATGCAATGTGAGATGAGATTACTTCCACAATGACTTTGATATCGACTGGAGACAGAAGAGCCTGGTGTGTGTGAACATGGACATTTAAGCTATATTAGGCAGAGAGATAAGCACCTTGGTAAGTGAGGAACACTGAATCAGTGTCTTGTTGGGCAGTCAATATAATGTAAATACAGTGTTTCCTACCTCAAGTTCATATTTCTTTTAAAATAAAGCTACCAGGTTTAGGGATTTAAAGCCTAGGGTCTTGTACTCAAAAACATAAAAGAGGCATAGATACACTGATATAGTGTTAGTTAATGTATGCAAGTGTACCAATTCCATAACAGCAGTAGAGAATTCCTTGTGGATTTAATTAATTTTTAATGTGTGGAATGTGTTACATCCAAGAAATGATATAATGGCTGACACACAGTAGATTATATAGAAGAATGAAGTATGTGCAAGAAAAAAAGCTGAAGAAAGTGGTCATTCATTGATTTGCTGGAGAGAAAAAGAGAGGCTGAAAAGGCATCTCTTGTTGATCCAGGAATGAGGATGAAACTATGCAGCCTTTTAATCTGTTCCCCTGCAGAGACAGGTAGAACAGTAACACTTGTTAAGAAGAGCAAAGTGACATCTCCTGGAAGCCTTTCATTAAAAGTTGGAAGGTCCACGGGCTCCTGCTGTGTTTTGTTTCTCTGTTTGTCAGGATTTGCTTTGCACTTGTCCATCCATGAACAACACATTGGTAGTGTTTGCTCTATAGGTACTACATTAGCCAGTTTGTGCAGGTGTGGAATAGCAAACAACCAGGTCAGTGAAGAAGTGGAAAGCTAGGGCTTTATGTTCCAGGGAAGCAACATCACAATATGGGCTAGATATTGCTGAGGATAATTACAACTTCATTTAAGTTTAAAATACTGTGAGGTATAAAAACTCTAGAGGCAGACAACCCAGCAAGAAACATGTGGTATTATAACATTTGCAATCTCTCTGGAGTAGCTATATGTCTGAATTAGGCTCTACAGCAGCCTAATTGTGTAATCCCACTGTTGAGATAATAGTTGGACACCAGTTTTTGATTCAGTTTTTGCCAATGCAAAGCAAGGATTGTTCTCATATTCCATGTCTTGTCCCTCATTCATTAAGGTAGATCTTCTCTGCCAATATTCCTTAAAAACTGTTTAAACATTTCTCCGTCTCATTGGCATATAGGCAAACCACAGATTTGATTTTCCTGGGAGCCGGAGAAGTGGGTGCTTTTTATACCTGAAGAGTGACACCTGTGTTTTCTGTGAGCAAATGTCTCATGTTCAACAAATTGGTGTTCATATTTTTTTGTCCTAGGTGCATCTCCATATTTTTTGTGGAGTTCCAGGCATACTTTGGGCAGGATTATGCCAGAACTGCTTGGATCCACTCCATTGTCGACTGTGCTACAATGCTTTGTGGTGTGTATTACCCTTTCAGGCCTAATGTGGTTGCTTTTTCATCAGTTCCGTCTGGTTTTAGTATATTCACAAGTTGGTGGAGTCAGCTGGGAAAGAGTGTTACTGTGGGCTCTCTGGGGCATGGTATATCCAAGCTGCTTCCATCAGCATAGTTGTGCAGGAAGGGAGTGTCCTCATATTGAAGAAAAGAAGCAGAACTTTTTCTTATTCGATGATCTAAGTTTTCAGAAATGTACTTTTATGGAGGTCTTGTGAGACATGTTGCGTTAGAGAGCTCCTAACAGAGCATATGTTTCTTTTGCCTTTTGGTTGGAGTCATATTTGAGACTCAGCACAGGATGTACATCTTGTCTCCAGATCAAGTCACAGTCATCTTCCTTTTACCATACATTTATATTTACAAATAGTCTTCTCCCCTAAAAGAAGATTCGGTGTCAGTATAAATGCAGCAGTTGTACTGAATTTCTCATGGGTTTGCTTTCAAGCTATACAGCTAGGTGAAAATCCATGTCCTAGTCCTGTGGAAGAGGATTAATCCATGAGAATTGCTAGAAAGGCAGGGGGACCCAGCTGGAATGAGACATAGCAACTGATCTGTGTCAGCCAGGGAATATCTGGGAAACGTGAAGTTACTGAGGTCTGAAGTGCAAATTCCTGGTGGCAGTAGGTTGGAATGTTGTAAGTGTGGAGTAATGAACAGTGTGGGATGTTGCTGTGGCCTCTCTTGACCCCAGCACTTCAGACTGTGTCCTGTAATGACTTTGATCTATGAAAATGACTGCTGAGAAAGCTACTGTAAATTTCAGGTTTATTGTGACTTTCAGGAAAATTGTTTTTAGAAGGTTTGTTTCCATTGTTTTTGGTGTTCATACCATTGCAATAGGGGGAATGTTGGAAGATCTCTCTGTGTAGCTGCTATCACCATTTTCTCCTGCTTGCCTCCTGCTTGCTTGTCCTTTATGACTGTTGAAATGAAGTGTGTGAGGACCTGCCATTAACTACCACCTTTGTTTGTTTCTTTGAAGCCCCACTTGGGAGTTTAATCAGTAATCATGTCTCCTGCCAAGTTGGTATCATGCTAGGAGGGCTGCTTGCATCTTCTGGACTAATTCTGAGTTCATTCGCCACCAGTCTGGAACATCTCTACTTATCATTAGGAGTCCTTACAGGTAGGATGCATTTCATACCCTTTGTTGCTGCCAGGAATGCAACACATGATGGCTGATCTCTTGATGTCATATTGACACCCCACTGGTCTAATAGAAACACTCAGACCTGTTCCCTTCATTGTAAAAGAGAGGCTTTGGCTGCTGCTGTGAGAGCTTCAGCACACACTGAGTCTCATGTAACCCAAATTCAGCACCCTGCAAAAGCAACTCTAACTTCTGTCAGAGAGAGGACTATGGATAAAGTTCTGAAATTATGGGAGGTCAAGAAGAACTGCTGTTGCAGGTGACATACATAAAAAGGTTTCCTTTTTTGCCTGTAATTTGAGAGGAGTTTGTTATACTAGGAATTCTAGACTGCCCCAAAATATTTGCATATTTAGGAAAAAAAAATTTAAATCAAAACACATGAGTAAGTAAGAGGCAGACGATCACTGGGTGAATACCTGGCTCAGTGTGCATCTGATTTTTGTCTGCATTACACTCCATTTGAAAAACAAAAGAATTGCTGGTTGGTAGAATTGTTGTAGCAGCTCTTCCATTTGTGTTCAGGTATGGTGATAATAAATATCTTTGCTCTTTCCTATCTGCCCGTGTTTGTTGTGCACAGACGAACTTGAGAGGGGCCCGTGGTCACACTGACATTCCTTCCTCATTAATACTGACCTGGTAGCCACGGTGATATAAGACCTTGTACTTGGTCCCCTGCTGTTTAGTAATGAGTTGGTGGAATTACTGCAGTTCACATGCTGCCAACAGCTTATTTGTTTAAAAAAAAAAAAAATCCTTATTGTAGTGCATGTCACTCCTGTATTACAATGTTAATCTTTGACAAATGTGTTCATAACAAATAAAAAGGCTTCTTGTAAGTTGAGGGACTGCCACATACCATGCTAATGCCTCTGAGGCTTCGTTACTGGGAACTGTTGTGAATACTGAGGTGGAAAAGCAGTTGCACTTTGTACATGGAGTTGTAGAGAGCCAATTCGACAAGCGACAAGCAATGAATTTCTAGTATGCGGAGACTGATTGGTAGAAAGATGAACTGTTGGGAAAGGCTAGAGGTGGTGTCCCCAACCCAGAGAGGAGGTGGGACCGTAACGGGTGAATGTCTAAATCCATAAAAGTTACAGCAGTTGAAACTATGAAGAGTGAAGCAGAGATGAGACAGGGAAGTGTCAATAAGTAACAGAGTTCCTCCTAAGAGGTATGAAAATGTTTTCAGCCCTAAACTTTGCGTTTGCACTTTTCACAGGACATTGATTTGCTTTTTTTGGGATGTTTCTCCCTGCCAACTCACTAAAAAAATAAATGGCACGTACACCAAATAGAGTATGATTTTCACAACTCTCAAGTGATGATGTCTAGCTCAGGGCTGCTCCTCTGGCTCTGGTGCCTGTCCAAGTCCAACCGCAGCTCTGTGCCCTGCTTCTCGCCTTGCCCCCTGAGGGGTGCCAGACCAGGCACCCGCCGCCCAGAGTCCCTCTAATCCACTTATTCCATCCTGGCAGGTTTAGTGCCTGTCCTACACAGTGTGGCCTTTGAGGAGGACATGGCAAGCTGGTTACAGCACTGGGTGATTATCTCCGCTATTGGCAGTGGGGTCTGTTTTACCCGCAATGTAGGACATGCTCCAAAACCCTGGTCAGGAACTCATTTCTATGACTGATTCAGAAAATTCAGTTTTAGTGTTAGAACAACCACTTGATGATTAAAATCTGCTCTCTGGTTCTGCAACAGAGACCACAATCTTTTTCTCAGTCCAAGAAATGAATCTTATTTGTTTACTCAACTGGATCTGACTTTGCTCTCTGCGGCTTTTCTCCCCGCTTTACTTGTAGGCAGGGATTTAAAATGGTCAGGACTCTAAACAGCTGTTGCATGGAGTTTGATTAGCTGACCAAGAAGGGGTTTTTGTAGAATATTAGTAACAGAGCCAGACTCTTTGTACTATGTTTCAGAGACCTGAAAATTAGTGTTCAGGGTTGCAACAGACCGAAACACAAAGTGGTGCCTCATCAGGACAGTGTGTCCAGTGCCAATATTGGTGCAGACCCTGGGGCAAGACCTCATCTTACATGCAGGAGAGGCTGACACAAAATTTCTCTGATGTTTAGCGATCATACTTGTTATTAAAAGAACCCTATCAGTTTTTTCTGAACCTTATTATTGTGGATTAGTGCTCATCAGTTAGGTTTGTCAGGACAGTGACTCTGCCACTGGAAGAAAGAAGTCATCCTAGTTCCTCATCACACTCTGACTGGGCTGCATGATACAGAATCAGAAAAATTTCCTATTCATTTGTGCTAATGAAAATACATTATGTGGTTTAATTTGATATGTTCCATATGTCATGCTTAGTACTAAGCCATCTGCACTGTGCTTTCTCTTCTAGGACTTGGGTTTGCACTTTGTTATTCTCCAGCCATTGCGATGGTGGGCAAATACTTCAACAAAAGAAAAGCACTGGCGTATGGAATAGCCATGTCAGGAAGTGGAATTGGTACCTTCATCCTGGCCCCTGTAGTCCAGCTCTTAATTGAGCAGTTTTCCTGGCGAGGAGCTTTACTCATCCTGGGAGGTTTTGTTTTAAACCTCTGTGTCTGTGGTGCCTTGATGCGGCCCATTTCTCTTAAGGAGGACCGTAAAACTGTTCCTGAGTTTCTTGAACAGGATCACGTCTCTGAAACAGAGAAACAAGACTTAAAGCAAATGTCCGTCTGTTCACCTTTAATCAAAGTGTGGTCTCGTGAATGTTTATGCTACTGTTCATGGAAGGAATATGACTTTTTACTGATGCCAGGCTTCATGGTGCTGGCAGTGTCAGTTTTATTTATGGCATATGGCTGTAGCCCCCTTTTTGTCTACCTAGTGCCTTATGCTTTGAGTGTTGGAGTGAGTCATCACCAGGCTGCCTTCCTCATGTCCATACTTGGTGTCATAGACATCATTGGTAATATCACCTTTGGATGGCTAACAGACAGAAGGTAAGGGCTTATAACTAAGCAAGTGTAAGCTTTAGCTGGTGGGAGCCTGGATGCAAGTGAAGTATGTGCAACTTAAAAAAAAATCCCACAACATACAGTCTTAACTTTCAGAAATGGTTACTATTTAACGTCTTCGTCTCTTCTGAGTTTGCTCAATTCTGCTGGTTTAAGATCTTTTTTCCTGAAGAAATTATGTTTGTGCATTTGACAGTGGAAATGCAACCTCCTGCCTGAGGTATGTTGAGCATGATTTTTTGTATCTATTTCCTAGAGGATTTCACCCTTCTGCCTCTGACTTTCCATCTCTTTTGTGCTGCTGGGAGGCACAGAAGTTATGGAAGAGGGCCAAGAGTCTGGCCCAACACTGTCAGGCACATACTCGGAAGGACTGACTGAAAATTGTACATTTTCCAGTATTAACAGGGATTTTGATTCTAAAAGATGTATTGTATTCTTTGTGCTTCTTCAGTTTGTAGGAAAAATCAATTACTGGTTTTGTGTAACAGGGAGGAAGGGAATTGCCATCTTGCTTAGCTCATGCTAACTCATGTTTAAGGGCTGATTGGAAGAGTGACAGCTAAGAGAGATATGCTGCAATATTTTATGTATACTACTGGAACACCTTGCTGAGCTGGGATGCAAAGCCCAATGAAATACTGCTTCAAACATTGAAACTTCAGGGGATTGCAAAATTCTGACAGCAGGATGGCTTTCCTCGGTAGGAGCATTCTGAAGAACACTGCAGACAGCATGGACTGCTGCTTGCCAGATGTTTCTGCAGCTGTAGGTGGGCAGCTTTCCCTGTCTGGGCTCATCAGTGCTGAGTTTTTAATCTTGAAGACTGCATAAGAAAACGGACTTAAATTTGAGCTATATAAGAGAGAGACTGAAGCACTGGATGCCAGGACATAGGAACTGAGATGCTGTGTTCAGTGATAATATTTTTCTTTTCTGTTTTGAAATTTGCAGGTGTCTGAAGAAGCATCGGTACTTTTGCTACCTCTTTGCTGTGGGAATGGATGGCCTTTGTTGCCTTTTCCTGCCAGTCCTCCAAAACTTCCCCTTGCTTGTGCCTTTCTCATTTACCTTTGGCTACTTTGATGGAGCCTATGTAACACTGATCCCTGTCATGACAGCAGATGTAGTGGGAACTTCCTCGTTATCATCAGCACTGGGCGTTGTGTATTTCCTGCATGCCATACCATATCTAGTGAGCCCACCTGTGGCAGGTCAGCTCCCAAATGACTTTCCTATAATCTTATCAGTACTTCAGATTTGCCTGTTAGTGTGATGTAACAGGAGAGGAAGGACAGCAGATGTGCACTAAATGTGGAGGTAGCCTCTGAGCAGAGAAATAACACACACCGAGATCTTTGTAAGTCTTTAGATCTCCCATCCCTGTCTTGATGGGTTAGTTTCTGCATATAGAGTGAGATGAAATTTGAAAACAAAACCCATATGGAATGAGCTTCTAAGAGCTCTTACATCACTACTTCATAGTTTAGAAATTGCCCAAGTAAAAGGAGCAAAATATTTCACTGTAAAATTGCAAGATTTTGAAAATGTAACCTAAAGGGAGTTTACTTCCAAGATTTTTAAAATTTTTTTTTGCTGTGGAGTCGTTATCTTTAGTACTATTGTCCCTTTTCTCATGGATTTGAGATTTCAGGCTCCAAACAAAAGCCCATAAAAATCTTACCTGCCTGCTGAGGACAAATCCCTCCCTGCCCCAGGAGGGAAGAATATAGTGATGGTGATGTAAACCTGTGTTGTTTGATTGTATTTATATATGGTATCATACAAGTTTACAAGTTGATAAGTTCATGAAACCCCATTGATCACAGGATTTGGAAATTATCAGAATACTGGTGGATCTTTAAAAAACCTTTTTTTTTTTTTTTTCCTACAGGTTGGCTGGTAGACACAACTGGCAGCTATACTGCATCATTCCTCCTGTGTGGATTTTCTATGATATTTAGTTCAACACTATTGTGCTTTGCAAGACTGGCAAAGAAAATCAAAAGAACGTGTTTGCGGTCACTCACTAGTGATACAGGCATGAAACAGCACATGTGGACAAATGGAGCAATAGCTTATTCTGTCACAGCAGAATTAGACCAAAAGGATGTTGAATTTTTGGCTGTGGACACAAACAGATGCAGCAACAGGTGACAAGTGCCATCAAGATTCAGTACGACACAGCCAAGACTGAGACAGAGGTGGCTCCGTAGTGTTAACGCTGCTTAGGATACTACTCCTGTGAAACAAGGCATCTTTCAATTAGATTTTTCTGTCATGCTTTAGTTGACTAAAATCTGCATCCAGCAACAGTCATACCAAGTTAATGCAGTAATAGAGGAAAGCTAGAATAAAAATAGTCTGTAGATAAAAATGTTCACAGATTTATTTCAAATGCAATGTCCACTCCACAGGTAATCAATAATTGGCTGTACTCAACAGAAAACTATAAAGTAATCAGTCATCAAAACTGAACAATAACATTTACGTTATTTAAAAAATATTATAATGACTTTTTGATTTGTCAAGCTTTTTGATGTTGTGGTCTAGTATGTTTCAATGGATTAATCACATACACCACCAAAAAACTCCACACTTACCAGACTGCATTAAACTCTTTGCAAATAACTGTTTCGAATGCCAAAGCCTTTTTCTTTTTTTATTTTTTTTTTTTTTTAGTTTGGCAGAAAACTGTGATTTATGCTGAAAGTATCTCTGGAGCAGCTTTAGTTTTTGCAATGTGCCTGAACTTTGTAAATACATTGCAATATAATTTCAAATATGGTTTTAGACCTACTTTCCCAAGCCATCTACAGAAAAAAAAATTTGTTGTCCTCCTGGATATCTTTAAAGCTTGAATTTCTAAACACTGACATCTCAAATATGGGTTTCTATCTGATCCTCATCTTGGAGTGTAGAAGAGGTACTGTGGCAGGTCTGCTATCTGAAGAGGAGTGAATTTGTGCCAGGGGACTAGGCATGCTGATAGACAAACCTGCTTTAGCTGCACTAAAGGCAGCCCAGGAGACAGGAGGAGAGGCTCGTGTGTTTTCAGAGTCCATTCCTCTTGTAAAATCAGCAGCTGTTGGAGAACTTCAGCATCCATGCAACCAGATGACTGAGAGAACGCTCCCTCTCTAGGCTGTGAGTGAAGAGGATTGTGCTGTGTATTGCAGTGGCAAGTGTGTCCCCTTTCAGCCCCAGGAGCTGTATCTTCAGGTGGTGCAATGTAGTGGTTTGTGCCATCTGAAGAGTTGTCAGGTCACTTGTCTTTGATGGCCAGAACACAACAGCTGCGACTTGGTGGTGGTTTCCTGCTGCTTGTGTGAGGAATTTACTAAAGCTGGCTGCTTCACAGGAGCTAGGGACTGAATGTAGATCATGGGTTAAATTACTGATCTGATGATCTAATAAATAATGGTTTGTTTCTACATTTCCAGACTGAAAATGTTTTCAGCAATGGAGGAACTTCACATTCCGCTATACAAATAATTTCAGTGTTTTGATGCTGTATAAAGCTGTCTTCTGTTCATTAACAAATTGATCAGAGTTCAAATAATTTTCATTAACACTGACCTAGTAGATTTGTTAATCATTTGCAGTGTATTTTCAGTGGCTGTTCATGGTGTCCTTTTCCACCCTGTGCCTCGGAAGGGAAAGAAACATAGATTGATGTTCACTGAGTTGATTTAGATCAAGAGTACAGCCATAGGGGTATAATGTCTTTTTTAACATATATATATATATGAATAGCATGTAGTTTTATTATTCAAGCATATTTCAAATATAAAATATTTAAATTGTCTGACTGCAATTGTCTGTGATTAAATAAAGCATTTCTCGCTGCCCTGCTTCAGAAGTGTAGTCAGAGCCAGTAGTATGATACATGTGCACAGACCACAGAATAAGAGATGGAAGAACTGCTTAAAGATAATGACATAACCTTTCTTCAGCTCTGCATGAAAAATGAGTCCTGGTCCCTAATACTGTTTTTAACATATATTAATTAAAAAAGGACAAAAATTATCCATGAATTTTTCCTAGTGAGTTAGGAAAAATAATTCGGAAAAAATAAAGAAGTTTTATTAATTAATACTGATGAAGATAATGTTTTAGATCTTACTGCAATATTTTAATATTAAAGAAGTAGGGAATAGTATGATCTACAAAGAATATAAGTAATTTTAAACAAGTTACAACCACTGTTATTTACTTCACAAAAATTTACTGGTATCCAGGGTACCACATCATAACAAGTCACTAGTTGTTCATGTCAGAGCTGCATATTGTAAAAGCCTGTTGGAATAACATGATATGCATTTTTATCATAATTAACTATACTGTGTAATACATTAGTAGCATTTTAAAGTTTTTTATTTCAAGATATTTTTTTCATAGGCTTTTCTCTTTATGTGTTTAAAGTAGTACTTCTTGTTTCAAATATCTTATTTAGCAACAAACATTCAATTGGTTTTATACGCAGACCTTTTGTGGAAAATGGTAGAATTATTTCAGGGTTTTCTAACACTGTTTCTGCTCTGACTTAAGTCAATGGAGAAAAACTTAAATGCTGAAATGATGCCTTCTGTGCATAAAACACGCTGTGAAATATCAACCCTGTCATGAATGTCCCCACTAAGAAACAGAGGGAAGCATAACAACCTGCAAGCAGAAGAAATGGGAATGCAATCCAGGCTGGTGAAACCTTACACTAGACTTCTACCTCCTAATCCACACAACCCAAGCTGAACAGTTCACCTTTATCCTGCCATGTGAAATATTTCAGGCAACGCATTATCTAAGTCTCTGGCTTACAATATTTTTAAAGAATGATTTATTGTATCTGTAATATTTTTTTCAGACATGATAATATTCAGGCTGTCCTTCAAGGAGGATATTTTCTGGCATGGCACAGTGCAGCAGTAAACTGAGATAGCTGGGATAGCTGTGAGCAATTTGCCAGCCTAACACTGCATGTTCAATGATCTTAGTGGTCTTTTCAACCTTAATGATCATGTAATTCTGTGTTCCCGTCAGCCCTGATGGAGACAAGTATCGATGGATATGAGCTTGGATGAAGCACTGCACTGCTGAGCCTGTCTGGCTTCCCAGGATAGCGTGGTTTGACTTGACTGGGGTAAGATCTGTCCAAGACAGAAAGAGAAAGATTCTACCTCAGCTGAATCCTGCCTGGTATAATGCTCTGTTCTGTGCAGTGGATGGAAATTCAGCGTAGGTACTGTTTACAGCTGCTGAAGTTATCCCATCTGTTTCCATTCCATGAAGTTTGAATTGGGGTAGTAATAACTCTTTTGAAATTATTTATGTTCTAGAATTTATGAAATTATTTATGAAATTATTTATGTTTTAGTGATCATTTGGAACATTTAATAAATTGTACATTGAAAAATTGTGTGAAAACAGCACTGGAAAATTACCTTCCACTGAAGAATTGCTCTTTTTTTTCTGAGAAAAACATTCCTGAAATATTCCTGCCAGCTTGGATAATAATTTATCTTCTGAAAAACAAAGGCTGTTTGTGCTACTATATGGAGAATATATTTTATATTGCCACAATAATTCCTTGTTTGCTTTCTAAAGTGTTACAAATTTATGCAAGAAGAAAGAGCTTGTTTAAGTTGTAACAGTACTTCACAGTTAGCATAACAAAGTCCTAGCTGGGATTGCCTCAATAAACAGTGCCTTCTAGGTGACTAATCTGGTGTATTTCAATAGAATTTTTATATAATTTAGAAGGTGATTTGATTCATAAATTAACACTTCCTGAAGGGTTATCTTTAGTCATTTTTTCCCTGCACCACTAGCATAGGCTCCATTGATAAATTCATACTTGGGTGTGAATTGAGAGGTAGTCACCTTCTGTGTGGTTCTGGTTTTGCCCAATGGACTTGGATGCTCCAAACTGTCTTTCATTTTGTCCACCTCCTGAAGCTCAAGCTCAGCCTCTTCCCCTTATTGCCATGCCAGGCAGTGCAGCAGCACCACCCTGTGGGAGATAACATTTCTCCTCACTTACAAGACACACTGAAGGCTGTTAGTACAGAGCATCCCCAGATACTACGGCGGTCCAGCTCAGTCCTTCAGAGTCCAAAGGAGGTGAGGCACAGTCATTTTATTCGCTGTGCAGAAGATTGAACCACTCTGACTCTTCATAAAAATTCAGCTTACTTTTTTTTTTTTTTCAAAATAATTTATAGCTTATCCGTTTTTTTGCAAGGTTCTTTTTCCAGGTGAGGTCCTGGTGGCAGCATGTGGAAGGGAGAATAGATTGCCACCACCTCTTCCTCAAATCCTTCCCTGCTGTCCTCCACCCTCTATTCCCTCAGTAGGGTTGGGATAGCAATGATGCTGAGCTTAGAAACGCTCAAGATTGAGAAAGGCAGTGAGATCACCTAACATACCCTTTTGCCCACATAGCTGAGCACATCACCGTAGGTAGTCACTAGTTCCTGACTTCATCCCCACTGTTCTTCCTGTCAGCTTCCAGGAGTGGTCTGTCAGTCCTGCTCCCAGTCCTTCCTTTTCTCTCTCCTCACCATTCCTTTACTAGGTAGAGCTGCCTTTGTAAGAGAGAAGTTGGCAGGTGGCTGGGAAACAAGGACGGACTTTTCCCCAGCCCTTTCTTATGAAGAAGGTGTGGTTGTTATTATGTGCACTTTAAGCTCCTGATCACTTTCGCTCATATTAGGAAACATTCTCTGAGGGAGAGCTGAGAAGGAAGAGGTTTATTCATGTTTTCTGATCCAGCACTGTGCTTTCATTCTGTCTATATAGTGGTGCTGTTGTCAGGGCAGGAATTCTGCAGGATGCCTGGGAACTAAAGTGCACATTCCTCCTGACATGGGCCCTGTCACCAGTTTGCTTCGTACTACACTACTGGCTAGGGCTCAGATGTGATTTGGAATTACAGCATTAGTTTTCCCTGAATACAATGGTCTATCATACGAAGGCACACTACTGTGGATTTAAGTTGGGCTGCCGTAAAGAATATTGACTTTTAGTTAAATATCTGAAGACAATCACCTTGTCCACCCATTCTGTCATTTCAGTGTTTTATCCCATTCACTAGACCCTGGGGGCACCCACCCCATTTTCCACATGCCCCTTGTGTTCTGTTGCCCTGCTCTCTGGTGCTCATGCAACTCTTCTCTCCAGCTGTGCTCTGCCCTCCATGCCCAGTTCAGTTCATTTCTTGTGTGTGCTTGCTATCCCTGGCTTGTTTCACAACCACAGATAACCATCTCTGGCAGCTCATAGACTGCTTTTCCTTTCTCTCCAGATGTTTGCTGTAGTGGCTCCTGATAGTGTGGTTTTGGGTAAACGAGACAGATGCTGATTTGTGCTGTTTTTTGATTCTTTGGTACAACGCTTCTGAAGCCAGTTTTGCTGAGACTCCAGGAAAAATAAATGAGGCTATCTACTAAGTCTTTCATATCCTGCCAAAACACTATCCCTGTTACTTTTTCAAATGACCGTTTTCCTTTTACCTACTCTACTAACATGAAGACTGGTCAGCAGAGAGATACCAGAAGCAATAGTTGATGGATTTAATGCCGTTTAGTAGTTTGCAACAATAATAAACATTTTGTTAGCTTTACAGTGAACTACTTAAACAGTGCTTTTTTAATATTTTTCATAATTAAACAGCATACAAGTTAGTAAACTGAACAAGCCTTCAACAAAAGTTTTTTCTACAAAAGATATTTTTTGAAATAGTTGAAAAAGCATCAGAAATTCCATTTCTGTTTAAGCATGCCTTTCAAATATCTAGACAAAATACTGCCATATGATTTCCTTATCTTTTTCTCAGTAAAAGGTAATATTTCATTTTCAGCTTAAAAGTTCTGTATTCTACTGATCATCATTTATACCCATTAGCATTGAAGACTAAATTAGATGAGCTATTATTGTATAGCTATTATTATATATTATACATTCCATTATATAGTTATCTAAGCATGCTCTCTGTTAGCAAATGAACAAATGAACAATCATCATATGCAGTTTCTACATTATCATTGGAAAGTGATATCACCCGTGTTTCATCTGGTCATAAAGTCTACCTTAAGACAAAACCCAACCAAACAAACAACAAAAAAAGTTCAAAGAGTCTGTTGAAATGTCCTTGGGTTTGGAGTTTTTTGGGTGTGAAGGATTTTTGTGAGCTTTAGCTTGAGATAGAAAGTTGTAGCTCAAATAACGCATTCCGATACTCTTCATTATTGCGATCCAAAGCAATGGCTTTTTCATAGCATTCAGTTGCATCTTGTTTCTGACCATTTAGCTTATGAACGAGTCCAAGTGTACCAAAATACGTTGCATCTCTTGAACCTCTCTCAAATTTTTGTCTTAACAATGACTGCACAGCTTCACTGCACTTACTTCTTCCAAAGGATTCTTTTTCAATTTTCAGCCCTTCTATGTAATACTCAATGGCTTTCGATTCTGACCTCATGTGCCAACGCTGAAAATTGCCATAATTGAAGTAGAGCTCTTGTTTTTCAGGACAGGTCAGATCATTTCTCTGAAGCAGTTCCTGAAATATCCTTTCTGCTTCTTCATACCTCTTGCCTAGTGCATACATGTTTGCTAGGTCCGTATGGGCAGCAACAAATTTTGGCTTTTGGTCTGCTACAAATTTAAAATGAGAAATGGCAAGTTTGATGAGCCTCTCCACTTCATCTTGAGGTGGATTTCTTGTTTTTTTCCATTCAAGTACTTTTCTTCTGTAGCAGGTTCCTAGTTGGTGATGCAAAAAGCCAGAATTTGGTGTCAGTGCTAGGGCCTTTTCCAAAATATTCACTGCCTTACACAGATCTCCTTTCCTTCTGTAAAATTTAGCAGCATATCGCAGGCAATAAGGCAGATCGGGGGTTTTTTGCATAGCTTCTTCAATGTACCTCTCCCCTTCATCAACCTGTTTTAAGTCCTGAAGTTTTAATGCAAGTAATGCCATAACACAAGTATCCTCTGGCTTCAGTTCCACTGCCCGCTTCAAGGCCTCAATGGATGGGCTTGTGTCTTCACCACATCTGGAAGCAAAATCTTCCAAACGATACAGTGCTGTTGCATAGCCAGCATTAAAATCTGGGTTATTGGGCTCAGCCTTTACAGCATTTTCAAAGCAATTCTTTGCTCTCTCAAAGTATTTCCCCCCAAAACTTAATAATGCCCATCCTTGCTCAGCATAGACCTCTGGAAGCTGTATCTTCCCATCAGCAGTACTTGAAAGCTTTTTGCAGCTGTTTTCCACTTTGCTTACATAAGTTTGAGCTTCTTCATATCTCTCCATGTGGTAATAGATCCAGGCATAGTTCCCCCAGGTAACAAGACTTCTCCTGGCAATTTCATCTGGATGGCATTTTTGAACAATTTCTTCAGCTTTTTGGAGATTTCTCAGGGCTTTGTCATTTGAATTCTTTAGGTGACATACATAGGATAGTAGATTATAATACGCGATGTTAGATTCTCCAAAAAATTTGATGTGATCGACTATTGTTTCCTCCAGGGGATCAAGATCTACATCCTGCTTCAGCAAAGTCCATGTAAAATGACATTGCAACTGCAGCAGGGAAGTCTTCAAGGAATCCTTGTAAATGGTACTAGAAGAAATCAAAGAAAAACATACTCTATTTGTTTTTTGCTATTCTTGTTTTTAAACCGGGTATGATATACTTTAAAGGCTGGTAATACCTCACCTCATGCCCCTAGTCCACAACACTTCAAATGAGCCAAAGCTGTGAGGAGCTATAGGTCTAAAGTGCTGAATAGTTTTTTTAGTAATTCTCCTTGCCAGTATAGGAGGACATCTCTTACATAGCACCAGGATGTTCTGGATGTTAGAGAGGAGGGCTGGTCTCTATGGTAAAGCTGACACACTTCTGGGCCTCAGAAATGTATTTCCTGTGTTGGGAACAATTGCTGAAGCCTACCCAAAAGAGGTACTCGCATAAGATTCCCTTAATATATAGAGAAAGTGATTTAGTGCCTTTCCTATGTCTCTGTACATTTTATGGTTTATGTTATAAATTTAATTTTGAATTTTCTTGCCTTTGTAAATCCTCATTTGTCAGATGATAGCACCATTCTTATCTTATGGTTATACTAACATACCCAGGAGCTGGATCCCAGATTGCAGCAGTCTCCTCATTTGCTGGCATTTGGGTGTACAGGCCTACTCCACTTGCTGGTACAGACCACACGCTCAATCACTAACCCTATGGCTCCTCAGAATCTGGCTTTGGACATCCACTGTCTGGTCAGGGAGCCTCTCTCTCCCCAGGTGATTCACTCCTAAACAAACACACACACCAACCAGACCCTGTTTACATGCGACTGGTCCCTTTATCCTCGTTGAGGTTTAAGCACTGTGCTGCTGCTCACTCATCCCTACCCCCACCCTGGTGGAATGGGGAAGAGAATCAAAAGGGAAACTAGTAGGTTAAGATAAGAACAGTTTAGTAATTGAAACAAAATAAAACTTAATAATAACAGTAAAAAATTAAAAGGGAAAAATAAATCTCAAGAAAAAACAAGTGATGTACAATACAATTGCTCATCACCTGCTGCCTGATGCCAGACTCCATCCCCACACCCCAGTAAGATCCTCTTCCAGGTGACTCTCCCAGTTTATATACTGAGCACGATATTCTATGGTGTAGAATATCCCTTTGGCCAGTTTGAGTCACCTGTCCCACCTATGGCCCCTCCCAGCTGTTTTGTGCTCCTCCTCACTGGCAGAGCATGAGATACAAAAAAGTCCTTGACTAGCATAAACATGACTTAGCAACAAACAAAACAGAATGTGTTGTCCACATTATTCTCATACTGAATCCAAAACACCGCACTGTACCAGCTACTGAGAAAAAATTAATTTTGATCCCAGATGAAACCAGAACATTCCCTCTCTATTTTTCAACAGTTTTTTCTTCCCAAATCACCCAGATCCCTTAATTCCCTGCCTTTGGTCCCCTCCCTAAACATCCCTCATGCAATCCCAGTCTCATGCAATCTCCTAATGCTTTTCCTCACATCCCATAATGTGTCCCATATCCCTAGGCAATTTAAACTGGAAAGCCCTCCTGTAGACCCCTGGTGATGCTGGGTGTCCCCCCAGCCCGTGGGGCTGATTGTCCCCTGGGGCAGCCCTAGAAGGGCTGGGTGGTGGCTTATGGCCCTGACTGAGGCATTGAGGAGTCCTCACCTGCCCTTGCACCTCTGTGCCACTCCTGTGTCTGGGTGTGGGCTGATGGCTCTTCGTCAGGCCTGGGAGCACCCAGGGCAGGGTGTTACTTGGACTTCCCCTCCTGGCATTACCTGCATGTGCCTCAAGTGTGGCTGCACAGACTGGCTTTTATCACACAATCTATCAAGGACATAACTTTACAACACAGAAAAGATGACATTTTAGTCCATTTGGGTTCTCCCTTAAAGAAGGAATCACATACAACTTTATTACTGAGGCTTCTCAGTCAAGTCCTTCTGTCCTCAAAAGGCTTCTCTGCTGTCCCTCCTGTAAAATCTAGTGTTTCTAACAGCCTGTGTGGCACAGTGAGTGCCGCTGCTCACCTGACCAATCATGTCTTTTGAGTAAAAAAAGGAGTGAGTGGAAAGATTGCAAAATTATTAGGAGGCAAACCAATGGGGAATTGGGAAGCAATTCTTACAGTAGGAAGGAAGGACATGTTTCCACCCAAACCATCTGACACAGAGGTACTGGTCATTAAAGGTACTTACAGTGGCTGTTAATGCATAAGTTTGTCTTACAAACTTCTTTGCATTTCTCAAATGATCTCCTCTACCTAACTGATGCTTTGATTGGTATTAATAACAGTTCCTAATTAGAAGGCTGTATGTGAGGTAATTACAGTTCTTCTGGGATGAAGGGGAAGTGAAAGTAAGTTCCCATTATCCTCATACCTTAATAGAAAGCTTTGGCTACAGTTGAATTTCACAGAACAGGTATTGGCTCCCAAATCAGCAGGAATAGCTTGAAGCCTTTAAATAGTCCTGTTCAATTCAAAATAAAATGTATGTCATTTTTTATTGCCTCACCTAAGAATCATGACAGTGTCCATGGCTGAAAACAACGGTGGAGACTAACGAATGAAAAGAGATTTGTAGAAAATGAATATTCATGAATGTCACAAACCCAGGTTTGAGATACAGATTAGACCCCTCTGGCTAGGCACCAGCCTGGCTTTCATCCCTGAACTGCATGCACACAGCCTTTCTAACTTTCTGTTCTGTTTACTGAAACTGAACCTTGTTGGAGAAGCAATAACATGACAATATCCAAAAGCATCCTTATTTTATTTTGATTCTTCTAGTAAATATTCTGTAAAATATTTTCTGTTGTTTTGATGCTCAAAGTCCCTCACTACTTACATTTTTATAAATAGTAAGCATTACTTTCCTGTGGCATAGAGAAAAAGCATCTTGCAGGGACTGGGTTGCTATCTTACCTCATGGTTTTCCTTCTCTGCTCACTTGTCTTCAGGTAACTTCAAAGCTGAAGGAGTGCTGCTCACTGTTGTTATGCTTCTCATTTTATAGAACTGAGCTGTCATATGGTCTGTGACCAATTTCACGGGAAACAGAAAGTGAAACTTCAGCTCTTCTCTGAGTCTGCCAAAGAAGCAGAACAGCCTGCAGTCGGAGAATTGAAACTGCTGCATCAATAAGCTGCTCTTTTTCAGCCTGGCTCTGTACCATATGATACTTTGTGTTGTGGAAAATGTGGCAAAAGCTCCTAGTGTTCCCAGCGTTTACTCTGCTCAAAGGCAGTGGCATCTATGATGGGGGAGTATTTCAGTCTAGTATGGGCTGACCTGGTTATCATGTACAGGCTAGGGAAGGGTCATTTCCCCCTCTTACCTCTGCACCTTTGCACCCCTACATCATGATTAAGGCTCCTATTTTATTGGTGTTGGGTCATGCACATAACAACCCCTTATTGCCCCTGTCTGCACTCCTTCCTCTGTGCCTCAGCATCACAAGGTCTCTGCTGTTGTACATGCCTGTGTTTCTTTGCAGTATGTCATCGTCTAAGAGTACTAAATATCTCATCCCACCTGCAGGAACTGTTTGTCGCTGCTGTCTGCATAAACCCAGAGTTAACCTTTCGTAAATCAAGTTAGATGTAGGCAGTCAATTCAAGAAACTGCTGTCGCAGTTATGCCAAGCAAAACAAAGTCACTGGTGGGTCAGGACAAGGTCAAACTAAGCAGACCTGGCAAGCCTCAGTCCCGAGGCCACGCAAACTCAGTGCAAAGCTTGTGGCCTGTTGGGAGCAGCAGCAGTGCTGTGTTACAGGGTAATACACGGTAACAAAGAGAAGGGCACAGCTTGGCGACCGGAGTATCTATGGATATGAACAACTCATTGATGCTTAGTTTAAAAAAAAAAAAAAAATGCAGACTGGCTTTGTAAAATTGATCTTGGGAGTAATAAAGAGATCCAAGAAACTGTATCCAACATACATAAATGGCACTATATATAGTAAATCCAGAAGTTAGCTAAGGCTGAAGACCAGTGAAGAAAAAGAAAAGGACAAAAGTGGGTTCACAAAAATAGAAAAATGACTCAGAGTGGATCTGATGACAGGAAGAAGGAAACCACAACACCATCAGCATCACTGCCTGATAACTTTGTTGTTATTCCCTCCAGCAGCCTCAAACTACTGATCTAAACACCCAGAGGAGCAATCTCAAGGGGAAGGAATTGAAACTAAGAAGTGTCCATGCATGCATGTGTGTCTGTAACAATTTTCATCATAATATTACTATTATTGTGACTTCGTTCTGCAAATAAGTACTTTAACTGCATTATTACTGCCTCTTTTTTCTAATAATTAGATCCAGACTAATGATAATTCTTAGACCATTTATTACTATGTAATATACTACTTATTTATTGTAGACTAAGGTTTACATTGCAGTAACAAAACAAATCTCATCTTTAAGAGATTTGCTTCATCTTTACCTATAAATATCACAGAACCTCCCTCCATTCTTCAATCCATTCCATTTTTAAATATGAGAGCATCTTGTTAAAAAACATGTTTAATTCTTGAAGCCATTCTTGAGGTGTTTCCCCTGCCCTGTTTTGTAGGCATAAGCAAACAAAAATGCATATAAGGCTGCCTCAAGTGACTTCTCATTGCTGCTGATATATGACAGTGTCAGTTCACCTAATTTTGTGAGGTTTTTAGTGAAGGATGCACGGGTTATCCCTCTGTCCTAACAAGCCAAAAATCACGTAGTATCAAACCTCATTATCACCTCAGAATTCCTGCTGCCATCATGTTTAATCTCTGCAACGACAGACAAGAATTAATGGCATTCCATATTTTTATTTATAAATTTATAAAACCTCTGACTGCCAATTTGCATGTTTTTGAGAATTGTAGATTCTGGCTTATAAAACTTTATCTTCTGTGGTATGAACAGTCCATATCCCCATCTTCCCAAGTATGTAAGGCAGAGGGAACCTCTGGATCTGGTGATAAGCTGCATTTATCCTCTGGATTTGGCCAGGTTGTGGCTCTATCCAGCTGGCTCCAGTGACCGTGGGCTGTTTGGGGGGAAGCTGGGGCAGCCACTGGGGAACTGCTTTTTTGGGGACAGCTCCTGGCAGTGTGGTGAGTTCCAGTTGCATGGAGTGAATTCCTGGGAGGCAGTGACTCTCCAGGACAAGGCTGTCTTTTGCCTTTCCTTTTTCCCCTTCCTTTCCCTTCTTTCCCTCTTCTTCTTTTTCCTTCTTTTAAAAAAACTCAGCAAATCAGTCTTACTTAGAACTTCTAGTTTTTATAAGAATCTGGAGAGGCTTTGTAACACACACACACCCCCCTCTTTGTTTCTCATTTAAGTGACTGTGTTTGTGTGGAGGGCTTACTGGAGTTGATGTTTTGGAGCTTAAGAAAAAGGTTAGTACAGCTACTATTCTGAATAACCTTCAAGGTTCTAGCAACCAGGTATCTGATATGTGATGAAAAGAGGCAGTGAATTGAGAAGGAAAATGGATTAGAGTATCTACACATATTCATGTATTTTATGGAAAATAAAGGTTGTAGGTGGTTGTAGAAAAATGTACTTATAAAGTTTCTGTGATGCCAAAATCAAATGTGGACACCAATGATTAATTATGCTGCTAAGTATCTCTAGATTTCTGGTCTCTCCTTCTGACCCAGGTGTCTGTTTTCTTTGGTATATTGCTTGGTACATATGGGAAAATGCAGCAGTCTTCCACCTGGAATGCAAAAATTTGCCCCAGTTTCCTTGTTTTTTATAAATTTAGTTGCATCTATATGCTTTGGTCTGACACAAATGCCTCTTAAATAAAATAAATGCAGGAAAGTGCTTCAAATAGGGTAAGAGAACAGTTATGCAATGCCTTTCTGCAGCCATCTTTGTAATTTGGCGGGCACTGCACAGGAAAATTGAGAAATCCTCCTACATCCCTGTTGCTTTCATTTCAGGAAAAGCTGTAGCTGGGCTGACCAGGAAAAGCTGCACTGCATAGCAGCAACTGCAGAAGCTTCTTCTTGGAAACCATGTGTCCAGAAATGGGTGGGGAACAACAACTGCATTCATATTTTATATAAAGACTTTTTTTTTTTACTTGAGTGTTCTGTACATACACTGGAATAGGAATAGGCTTCAAAAATAGCTACATATTTTGTGGGAGAAAACTCATATCTGGACATTTCCTCAGAACGGAAGAATATACATGCCAGCAAAGAATTTCCCCCTTGTATCATTAGCCCAGCCAAACAATGGCCTGAAACTTTCATTATTAGAATAACGTAAGTGAATGATACCATTAAATGATATAAATGGTATAAATGACAGGATCACTTTGAATATCCTATATTATGCAGGTTTCAATGTAGCCTAGGTTAATATATAATTATTCATTTGAAAGCAGCAGTTGCGGCATTTTATAATTTGAGTTTTCCCCTAGGAAGGAAGAATACTCTGTAATTTGACAAAATAACCCAAGTGAATTTCCGAACAATATTTTCTTTACCCAAGTTCTTTAAAGCCAAACAGTCCTAAGAAATGGGATCCAGAAATGCAAAGGATCACACAGTGTCATTTGTGTCTACTGACATATCCTCATATCAAAACAAGGGGATGCTATGAAAATTTCAATGATTTTTTGATTAAAATCTTAATGCTTTCTAAATAAACAGAAATATTTCAGTTCCTGACACCCTCCTGCTCTACCACTGTGTGTTTAGTATCAGGTTTCTATATTATTCTATGGATGTTACTGTGGGCCTGAGCTAATAACATGAATATTTATATTGAAGGATTGAATTTGGTCCAAATTTTTTCAAGTCCAGTCACATATTCCCTGACCACAGACACGCTTCTCTGGGAAATTATAGCTATGCACTGCAGTGCCTGCCAATTAGTTGCCTCAGGTTTGCAGGAAGCAGTGATGACAACCCTGCTGTAACTGCGTGCCTGCATGTAACTTAAGCCCGTTTGTATTAGACTTGCTGTGTTTAAACAATGCTCAGAGATGATGGACGAGAGATCTGTTTGTGTAAGAATGGCAGTGATTGCTGGCAACGCTGTACAGTCCTTAGGAAGGACCGGCGGCTCCTGAGGCGCAGGTATCCGGCACGCTGGGGAGGCATCCCCGGGATGCTCCCTGCGGACAAAGGGAGAGCCCTCGGCGGGCGCGGCTCATCCCCTCCCTCCTCGCTGCTGCTGCCGCTTTCTGCCTGGAGCCTGCCGCGGGCCGTCAGGAACACACCGCACACCCTGGCAAGGCGGCTCCGTGAAGGCTCTGCAGGCTCCGGAGGACGGGCAGATATAGAAGACGAGGAGGGCTGGGAAGCAAGTCCACGGGCGCCGCTCCGGAGGCTGAGCGGCTGCTGAAAAGGGAGCCCAGGGGGAGGCGGGGGGATGCAGGCGGTATCGCTGGAGAAACGCTGAATCACGCCGGCTGAGGCGGCTCAAGGCCGGGCGGGCGGTGCGGGCGGGCCCCGCTGCCCATAGGCCGCGCCGCTGAGCCGAGCGGCGGCCGGCGCGGCGCCTCCTCCCGCCGGGCGCTCCCCGGGCCGGCAGCGGGGGCTGGGCGGGCCCGGCGGGGCTGCAGCCGCCCCTCTCCGCCCAAGGCACCGCCGGCGTGCGGGACACACCCCGCCCGGCCCCGCCGCGCTCGCTGCGCCGCTGGGACAGCCTCCCCGCCCTCGCCCCGCCGCTGCCCCCGCCCCTGTCCCGGAGAGGCGGCACATAATCCCCGCCCGGCCCCGCTCGTAGCCGTGCCGGGGTTTGCTTCCCCGCGGCGTCCCGGATCGTTCTCGCAGGACCAGGATGCCGGGCCTGGTGGTCGCCGCTCTCCTGCTGCAGAGCATCGCCGGCTCGGGCGCCTTCGCCGTAGGGAGGAGGAACGTGGACCCCGAAACGAACATGAACATCGTGAGTGGCGCGGCGCGGGGAAAAGTGCTCGAGCCTTGTGAGCGGGCGCGGCCGCGGGCGGTACCGGGGCTATGCCGGGGCGAGGAGCGGGGCAGAGGGCGCTGGGCGACCTCGGCAGCCGCGGAGAGAGCTCCAGAGGCTCCAGCCACCTGTGCATGGTCAGC